AGTCTCATCTCTTTTTTTTTTTTTTTCCTTTGGATGTCTGTCCGACTTACGTCGAGTTCGAGTGCCCGACCTCGTTGGTCTCAAACAGCTTCGCCCCGTTGTACGGCTTCAGCCAGTCCTCGTGCGCGACGAAGCTCGTCACGTTTAGGGGCTGCCTGGCCTTGATCCTCGGCAACGCACTGCCAAGCACGGTCGCGTTCCCGCCAGCCCCCGACGTGGGCTCCGAGTGCCCGTGCTGCCTCGCCTTGTGCCGCGCGTGGCTGCCACCGCCACCGCCGCTCCCCGCCGCGCTGTTGCTGCTGTTTCCCCCGCGCGCCCCCGCCGCCGCCGCCTCCCTCTCATCAGCGCGCGCCGCCCGCAGCGCCTCGGCGTACGAGACGGCGGGCACCCAGGTGTAGTCGCCGACGGTCGGCACGCCCAGGTGCGAGGCCCAGTAGTCGTCGAGCGACGCGGCGGACGGTTTCTCGGCCGACGGCTGGCAGTAGGTGTCGATGCAGAGCGCCATGGTGCGCAGAAAGGCCGCGTCCGTCGTGAAGCACTCGGGCGGCGTCCAGTTGGGCGAGTGCGCCGAGCCGTAGTTGCGGCCGCGGCCGGCGGGCGGGGTGCACAGGAGCCGGCAGTTGCGCAGGACGTTGCGGCACGCGAAGGCGCACGGCGGGTCGTACATGGTCTTGCCCCAGCCGATCATGCCCGTCCCGTCCGCGGCGGATGGGGCCGTGAGGCTCGCAGCAAGGAGGAAGGGCAGCCATGAGCGGCGGGCCCGAGGTGACATGACGCTGTTGTTTGGACTCCTTGTAGGAGACTTGTTTGGCAGGACAACTCCCGTCTTTGAAACAGCCCGATGGCCCGGCTGAATTACGAGGACGCTGTTGGAGTAGAAGCTGTCCTTGGATGGCTAGGCTACGTCCATAGCTACTTACCTAGGTACTTGTCAAAACTGACCAAGGGCTGCCAGCATTGCAGTTGGCAAGGTGCCCGAGGCCATCTGCGGAAGGCCACCCCCGATGTGGTCCCTTGGCCATATATTTCAAACCCAATTCGTCTGCATGCAACCTTGCATCTAGCTGGCAATAGGTAGCCGTGGGTGTGCTATTCTGAATGGCAAGTGTGTGCAGTCCGAGCTGTCCACCAATATGGCGCGAGATGGAGGCCGTTAACTTGCTCATACTCCCTCGTCTAGTCTCTTGGCATATCCCGCCCCGCCGGGATGGCATGCTTGGCTGCATCGTGCGGTGGTCATCCTGGGCGTGGTGTGGGATGGACGATGGACATCAGGGCATTCATTTACTTTGTATTGGTAATTTTTGATTGAAGGAACGAAACATTCCTTTTTGTTCGGTTGGTTGTCCCCCTGGTGGTAGAAGAGGACGTGGACCGCAGTCTGACGCTGCGCTAAAGTACCTACCTGCCCAGTCAAGTAACCGAACCCTCCCCTACTCCTTCGGTATATCGCAGCCATCGCTGGGATCATGTATAACCACAACCCTCCAGTTGTCGACATGGAGCGCCTGCCCGCCTCCCCACTTGACGACCTCAACCCCCGGCGGGTGAAACTGGCACATGTGCGCGGCCCAGTGGGCGCCGTCGGCGATGGTGTTGAACTCGTAGACCTCGAGCTCCTCGTCATGCTGCAATGGTTCGAGGTCAGCTCTGGGCTCCTCTCTAGGAACGCGGACAAGACTCACGTCGTTGCACCAGTATATCCCGGCGGCCCAGCTGCAGCTCACGCGGCCGCAGTTGTTGGGCCCGGGCCCGTTCTTGGGCCTGGCGTTGCGCACGTTGCGCAGGTACCAGACGCCCTCGTCGATGGCCTTCATGCGCGCGAGCGAGTCGTGGTGCAGGCACTTTGTCTGCACGAACCCGCGGAACGTGTAGACGGTGTCGTCCTGGAGCAGCTTGGACGAAGTGGTCGTGGTGGTCGTGGTCGTGGACGGGCAGCCCGCGTTGATGCAGAACATGGACCACCCTTCATGAATGTGCCGCAGCCCCTCCATGTTGATGTGGAAGTCGGCGTTGTAGTTTGGGTTCAGCCGCAGCAGCTGCGCGTGCACCTGCTGTAGCGTCCCGTTGAGTTCCACCACCTCGCCGTGCGGCCGCACCTCGGCCACCCAGGTCGTGTTGTATATCTCGTAGCCAGCGAGCTCTGCGGGGGTCGAAGTCTGGGAGGGCCCGTGTTGATGAAGTTGGTCAGTAAGAGTGCATGCGCAGTGAAACTTCTGCGGGCAGTGGCTCGTTTCCCAAGAACGAGGATGAGAGGGGTGCCCACCACGAACGCGAAGAGCAACGAGAGGACGATGCCGACGAACAGCGTCATGGTTAGTTGTGAAGATAGTGGGTTGAGGCAACATCTGCCGCGGCGGACGCATACAGGTAATCGAGAAGCGAGGCTCGGGCTTGTTCTTGGATATCAAAGCCGGCATCCCCGAACAAATCCAGTAGAATGCGAGGGGACTTTGCTTCATTTGCCTTTTAACCCCCTTCACGAGCGAACATGTTTCGCCGACATCGTATCGATGACAACGACATAGATTTGGCACCCTGGCACAGATCTTGTCCTCTTAACAAAAAAAATACTTGCCATCAGGCGCCATCATTGGCGGCCCAACATTGACTACAACTGCCGAGACAGAGCCGGCGATCGAAGAGTAACCGCTGACGTTTTGCGAGCCCCAGTTGTACTACACATAAAGCTCCGGAATGTTTGCTGACCGTGATATCGAAGCCACGCAAGATCGACTTGTGAGCCATCATTGCACGGTAAACCGAAGACTCGTCATTCCAGTAGCACATTGTCACAGACTCCCACGTCAGGCAGCCAATAGAGAGCTGCGGTAGGCATCCAGTCTGGCTCTGACCGCCGGCCACGGATCACGAATCTTCACATGGTGTTTAGAGTTAGCAGCCTTGGACCGCGTGTTGCTGCTATGCCTCCTGCGTCGTCAGGTGGTGACACTGGTGGAAAGGTAGAGTCATAAAGCAGGATCGGGATCGGCTCAATTAAATTTTCATGGTCATTGCCAATTCTTGGCCTCACTGCTTTTTGGACTTCCTCTTCACCGACTCTACAAGCCCGGCAAGATCGCCCGAGCCTGCTGCCACCTTGGCCTTCTTGAACCCGGTCGAGGGGTCTTCGTCGGCGCTACCCTCGTCGGTCCTCCTTCTCTTGCTCCGCCCCTTCTCGAGCAGCTTCTTCATGCCGGTCGTGGCCTTGAACTTGGGGTTGGAAGGGTCGATGGCATACTCATGATCCTCAAACACGGCCTTGAACCGCTCGTCATTCACGTCCATCTCGAAACCTTCCTGCAGCAGATTCTTGCTGTTCTCGGCATCCTTGGCAGCCTGCTGCTTGGCCTTTTTGCCTTTTAGCTTTTTGCCCTTACGCTTCTCCTCCTTGAGAATCTCGCTCATGTCAAAGTGGCTCATGCCCTTAACGCCACCACCGGCGGATGCTGCTGTCGCGTCGGCATCATCCTCCATCAGAAGCTCGAGCTTTGCCCGCTCGGTGATCTTTTGCTTTTCCTCGGCCTCCCTAACCTGCCGCTTCTTGAGCCTCTCCTCCTTCCGGATCGACGACTTCGTTGCCGCGCTGTCCGGGTTTTCGGTCGTGAAGAAGGGGTCGTCAAAACCCAGATCCTTATCTGCGCCAGCGGTCTGTGGCTCTGTGGCTTCCGAGGCGGCGTCGGGGTCACGGCCCTCACGCCTGGCCCGGACCTTCTCGCGCTTCTGCTCTTTGCGTTCGCGCTCCTTCCTGGCGTATTTTTCGATTGTGGTCTCATCCTCGGGCTCCTTGGCGGCGGCCTTGGCGGAGAGAGCTGGGGTGAAGGTGATCTGCATCCCTCCGACCGGGCCTGAGGCCTTGGCGCTCTTGGAGGGCCCTGTGGGCTCCTCCTTGAGGCCTAGAGCTTCGCGCATCTTGCGGCGGGCCAGTTCCTTCTTTGAAAGCTTGGGCTCGGCCTCAGGGGCCGCACCGCTGTTCTCCTTGGTAGCGTCAACCTCCTCAATCTCATCTCCTTCGTCGTCCTCGCTGTCGCTAGCCAGGTAGGCGCGCAGGTCGTTCTCGGCGATGTCGTTGCGGCTACCCTTGAAGGCGCGGTTGATAGTGTCTTTGCGTGCCACATCGTCAGGGTGCATGTCCCAAGTCAGCTTGACCTTGGAGTGCTGCAGCGCGTCGGTGACGAACTCGACGGGCTTGTAGCCGGCCGGGACTTCAGCGCACTCATCCCTAGGCTCGTCATCAAATGTGGTGTCGTTGGGGACGAAGCGCAGGTCAAGGAAGTTGGACGAGGCGAGATACTCGCGCCCATCAACCTCGCGGTAAATCGTTTCGGCAGTGGCCTCGTCACTACACTCCATGATCGCGTAGTAGTATCGTAGCCTGTCGAGCTGGTAGGACCTCAGGGCATCGCTGTCAAAGTCCTGGTCGTCGCCCTCCTCCAGAAGCTCGTCCTTGATCTTTTCATCCTCGTCCTCGTCGTCTTCGTCGTCCTTTTCGCTGTCCTCCACGCTGTCGTCGTCCCCTGACTTCTTTTTGAAAATCTCTTTTGGGGGGCCTTCAACCTCCTCTTGCGCCATCCTCTCTTTGCCGAACTCGCTGGGGTACACCGAGACCTTTATTATTCTGCCTCCCTGAGGAACAAAGCTGGAAAAGACGGCGAAAAGATCTGTCGACTTGATGTTGTCCCAGTCGATGTTGACGATGGCTATCCTGTTGGTGACATCACCCAGGGGCACGTCTGCTTGCTCGTCTTGGAATCTTTGGATGGAAGCCCCCGCATTTTCGTCCACCTCGATATCTGGCTCGTCGTCGTCGTCGTCGTCGTCGGACTCGGAATCGGATGTGTCGAAGCCGCCACCACGTGCGGGGTCGTATTTCTTGTCGGCCGCGCGCAGCTCGCGCTTTAAGACCTCGTCGTTGTCCACTTGGAGCTCCTCCGGCTTGTCCCCGCCCTCGCTGTCGTCGTCGCCGTCGCTCTCTTCGTCCTCAGGCTCGTATAGTCTCTCCAGAGCCTTCCTTTTGGAGTCGCTCTTGAGCTTGCGGCCGTATCTGTCGACCTTGGAAGTCACAGTAAACTCGTCATCCTTTAGCATGCGTGAAAAGCGCTTGTCGAGCTTTGTCTTGGCCGATCGTCTCGATTGGAGCTTAAAGCGCGGGTCGCTCTCGAAGCTCGCAAATCGGGGGTCTGGACTCTTTCCGGCAGCCCCCGAGGGCCCGGCTTCGGCAGCGGACTTGGAGTGTTTGCCCATGGTGGTGTGATTGAGAAAAGTACGAAGTGTGGTGTGTGAGAGAAGCTGCCGCGCCAAATCGACGATGGCGGGATGCGACGAGCTCTAGCGATTTTTTTTCTCAATTCCAAACTGCCCGCCGCGTCGCTGAACTTTTCAGTGGGGCAAGCGGATACCATTTGATTCTGCCGGAAAACGGTGAGACGCAACCTTGTTGCCTTCTGATGCAGCACTGCGTGGAACCCAATTCGGCAAAGGAGATGCACTGTTCAAGCTTCACAACCCACCGCATCCATTTCTTCAGCAAAGCTGACCCTAATCATTATTCCGAAATTTTACAATGAATCCCTACTGGGACGATCGCCGCCCCGCGACGCCATGGTGATAAACCCTTGAATGCTAATACACGCTTGTTCCGTTCTGTTCCCGCCTCTGGTCCTCTTGCACACGCAAACGCACATCAGAACTACTCAAAACCCAAAGCCTCCAAAGCCAGGGATGTTGATGGGCAGGTTGACAGGCAGATTTACAGGTCCCAGACGCGCGTTGTTGCGCCCGCCACCACCACCGAACGGCGAGCCACCAAATGCGGTGCCGCTGAAGGAGAAGTTGCCCGACCGCTGCTGGCCGTCGTCGCCCCAGGTCGTCCAGCTGGTGCCGTTGCCATCGATGTTGATATGTATCCTCTCGCGCTGCCGGTCCCTCTCATCGTCGGCGTTGTTGGTGCTGTTGGTGTTGGTGTTGGCGTTGGCGTTGGCGTTGCTGTTACGGTTGTTGTTGTAGCTGCTGCTGCTGCCCGCCGTCCCGCTCCTCGTCCTCTGCGGACCGCCGGGCCTCCCCCTCTCCTGCTGCGGAGGCGGCCCCGGTCGCCGTGCCGACGCTCCGGGCCGCGGGAGGTCGTTGCGCGGCACCTCCTCGTCAAAGTCGTCCTCGTTCTTGCTGTTCTTGCGCTGGCGCTGCTCGCGCTCCCACTCCTCCTCGTCCTGCTCGCGGCGGGACCGCTGGCGGCCGAGGTTCGGGTTCGGGTTCAGCGGCGGCGGCGGCGACGGGATGGAGCCGTAGTCGGCCGGGTCGAAGCCGCCGTAGCGCGAGCTGGTGGTCGTCTCGCGCCGGCCCGTGCTAAACTTTGCGTCGGCGTTGCGGTTGAAGTTGTTGGCGTACTGGCTGCCCGCGGCAGCACTGCCGGCACCCGCCGCCTGCGCGGCGGCGTCTGCGTTGCCTGCGGACGTGGGACTGCGCCGGACGACCTGAAGCGGCTGCGGGAACGCGTTCTGGCCGGACCGCGGGTTCGTCGACCGCGGCGGTTGCTTGGGAGGGCTGGAACTCATTATGCGAGTGTTCTGGGGGGGTATTAAAGGGAGGTAAGACAGGATAAAAGGGTGGATTCGTCTAAGAAAAGCGCGGCTTTTCGTATAAATGAACTTTTGAGGTGTCCGTCTAGGCAGAGTCAGGGCTTGGAGATTGTAGAGTCGAGGTTCTTGCTCTTCCAAGTTGTCGGCCTTGTCTACCACAGATGCGAGGGAGATGTATCCTTTTCTACCATTTCCCCATCCGCAGCCAATGCCCATACCACTGGCTCTCTATCGCCTATGTCATTTTAGCCTACTACGGCAATCGCGGTAGCACGGCCTGAGTGCAAGACTGATCAACATACGATGGCCCACCAGCCGAGACCAAGTCCCTTGCGTCCCACGTTTCAGTCACGGCTCATGCTGCTCGCCCCGTCGCACCACTTTCTTTTCCTTCTTTTCTCCTTCGGCCAGCAAAACAAGGCACTCCAGAGTCGCATTCGTCGCCCCCGGCAGTCGCCCCGCCAGGACCCGAAAAGGTGCAGCTCAAGGGGAGAAATCCCCCGTGGTTCAGATGTGGCCTCATTGGCCCGCGAAAGGGGGTCCGTGAACAACACACCACCGCGCCGCCGGGGCGACAGGGTCCAACCTGGGCGTCGAAAAAACGTCCCCCAGATTCTAGACCGCGGGACAAAGAGAACATGTCGGCCAGGGCGCCGCCGTATCCCGTCACACAGCGGCACAGCGCGGTTTCTTGGACGAGGGCGGGATCGAGTGTGCGTAGGCCGGAAGCCGCCGAGCCAAGGCTTAAGAGCCGCCAGCTATAGGCGTGCCTCGTCATACAGCCGCAAGCCGCCCTTTTCTCCAGCCCACTTTCTTTGCTTTTTCTGAATATTTCTGCACACTCCGTCGATCTGCATGCAGCCTGCAGCCCGCTGCTGCGGATCGCCGTTCTTGTCGACCCGTTCATCCGATGTCGCACAGTTGCCCCGGCAGCTGTGCCCGTTGACGCTCTCCAAACAACTGCCGGTCAGCATGCCTTGGCTTGGCCTCGGGGGCGGACGGCCGGTCAGCTGTGCATCGTCATGAGCCTGCACATCACCAGGGCGTTATAGGACCAGGGCGTTATAGGACCAGGGCGTTATAGGAAGGAATAGACGAGGGATGCGATACAAGGTCAGGACACGGCTTCTGGGTTGATGTGAACAGCTGGTTCACGTGAATCGCCGAGGTCGCTGGGGAAACGGACGGTCAGTCCGAGTCGAGAAGGTGGCAGCCCGGCCGGCTTCTCTTGTGCATGTCTGTCAGGCTGATGGGTATCTTCTTTGTTTGATTTCTGCATGCTCCATATCCTGTCTACCCCTTTCCTCCTTTCCCTGCTTGATGAGCTGGGCTATCCCCGTAACCCACTACCACATGTCCCTACCGATACACAGGTTCTCACTCAACCGAGGCCGAGGCCTCGACCTGAGCACCGATCCTCCGCTTCGAGGACCTGGACTTGCTCTTCCCGGCGGGCGCCGGGCCGCCAACGAAGACGCAAGGGAACACGGCATCGCCGTCGCCGTTGCCGCACCGTGCCGGGAACAGACAACACTGTACGCCGGGGCTGTTGGCCGGGTCCGTGAAAGTAGTTTGGCCCTTGTCATTCTTGCCGACGGCCACGCAGTCGGGACCGTTGGGGAAGCCGCAGCTGTGGACGGTTGTGTTTCCAGGTCAGTGTCGGTGTTCCGCAAGTCGGTTGTGAGGCAGGATATCCAGGTCAACTTACTTTCCCTTGGAGCCGCGAACAGCCTGAGCGGAAACGGTGGCCGCAAAGAAGGCGGCGGCGGCGATGGAAAGGAACTTCATCTTGATGGTGTTTTGTGGATGTTGGGTGAGACGGCGAAAGTGGCCCGACGAGCAGCAAATAAGGAGCGAGATGGCCAAAATCTGCACAGCAGACGGTTGTTGAAAGGAATAGAAAAGAAGTGGACAAGGAGCACAGCAATGAGAAGCAGACCCGGCTGATGGAGAAAGAGGCTCCAAGTGCGTGATGATGGCAGACGCTACTCGTCTTTATACAGTCGCAATCAGGCCCATGACCGTCCATCGTCCCCTTTTCCTTGCCTTGATCCACCCCTTTTTTTTTTTCAGATCTCCCCATCGGCGGCTCGAAGGTCGCCTCAAGATGTGGAGAAGGTTGCATTTGTTTCGATTTGCCAGCCTTAGCTCAAGGGTTTCAAAGACCCAAGAGGCTCGAAGGCCGCCGCAAGGGGCGAAAACACGGGAGGGCGAGTCAGCCTGGGTGGCATCCCTACCCCGAAACTGGCAGGGTCTGGCCAACGGCGCGCCAAAACACGGCCGGACATCTCTGCTATTTTGGATGGCATCTGCCAGGGAGCCGGCGATGGCGCCCCCTGCCCTGGCCTCCGTTTCGTTATGCATATTTGAGTCGCCAGTGCGTTCGAGTTGGCGCCAACAGAGCCGCGCGCCACCAAAATGAGAACTAAACACGCAAAATTCTCCTGGAGAACAAAACAACTCAATCTCCCTGCCTCGCCCACGCCGACACCTGTTTCAACCGACTCCATCGAGCAGTCGACGCCGGACCAGGCTGGCCCTCGTTCAAACCAAATGAGGATACAGAAACGCGTAGCCACGATGCCTGTCGTCATACCATCTCGACAGTAGGAACAGCAGCAGGGATGCCGCCATCCGCAGCGGCCACCCCGAGGCCCGGCCAGTCCTCGCGACGCGCCGTCTTGACGCCGAACCGCTGGCCGATGACGACCCAGCTGGCGACGATGAGCAGAATCCGGAACGCGCGCGCGTCGGCCCCGTCGCCGAACCCGACCTCGAGCGCCCGCCTCACGACCCCGTCGTCGACGAAGCCCAGCGCCGCGACGGCCTCGTCCGTCAGCAGGCCCTCCAGCATCTCGTGGATGGGCCCACCGCGTGGCCAGGCCAGCGGGGCCGAGTAGGGGTGCTTGCGGCGCTCGTACCCGGCTCGGGCGTGAGGAAGGGCCGCGCCGCCTCGCGCAGGATCCACTTCTCGGTCAGCTCCCAGCCCGCCAGCTTGGCGCCCTGGTCCTCGCCCAGGCCCTCGAGCAGCGACCCCCACCACGAGCTCTTGCTCGCCGCCGCGTCCACCACCACTTCCTCCACCTCCTCCTGCCGCTGCTGCTGCTGCTGCTGCTGCCCCCGCGGGCCGAACGACATCTTGACGCTGGGCGGCAGGCCTGCCACGTACTCGGCCAGCTTGTGGTCCAGGAACGGCGGGCGCGCCTCCTCGGCGATCTAGGGCGTAAAGAGGCCGCTGTGGGGGCCCGGGTACGCCCCCAGGTAGAAGCGCGGCGCCGCGGCGGCGTCCCCGCGGTCGGCGAAGAAGCCCTTGGCCGCGAGAATGTCGGCCATGCCCGACGCCATGAGCCGCTGGATCTGGACGCGCAGCTCCCCCTCGCGCGCGAGGGCTGTGTGCGGCATGGCGCCGTCGGCATCGGTGAAGCTGTCGGGCAGGAGGAACGGGTAGCCCGCGAAGAGCTCGTCGGCGCCCTCGCCCGTCACGACGACGGGGACGCCGCTCCTGCGCGGCAGCGTCGGGAGCGCAAACTTGCCCACCGTGTTGAGGTCCCAGTGGTGGTGCTCGTTGTGGTAGACGGCGTCGGCAAAGTGGCGCGCCAGCGCGGCCTCGTCCATGTCGATCTTCTCGATCGACACCCCGAGCCATTCGGCCGTCCGCTCTGGTTAGGGGGGATCGGATCGAGGTCAGCAAATTCCGCCGCCAGCGGCCCGTGAGAGGCTCCTGCCCGACATACCAGACTCGCCGAACCCGGAGGCCGACGGGAACTTAATGCTGAAGCACGAGATGCGCTCTGTCGGGTCTCTCGTCCCGAGCTTGACGCCTTCCTCCCGCACAAGCTTCGCCACGATGCCTGCAATGGCAGACGAGTCGATGCCGCCAGAGAGGTAGATGCCTACCGGCACGTCGGCACGCAGACGTAACCTCACGGCCTCAATAAGGCGCTCGCGCACTCTCTCGATCATTTCCTCCACCGTCCGAGTCTCGACCTCTCTCTGCAAGCGAGGTTAGTATGCTGCCAATGTCCTCGGAGATTATGCGCCCACGTATCCTACCTTGTCACGGTAGTTGATGTCCCAGTACTCATGATGCTTGATCTCTCCGTGCTTGTCCACCTCCATCCAGTAGCCCGGCAGTATCTTGCGGACGCCCTTGAACACAAACTTGTCCCCGTTCATGGCCGAGGCGTCAAAGAGGCTCAGCACGTCCCACTCGGGCTCCCAGCCCAGCGGCAGAAAGGCCTTGCACTCGCTCGCCAGAAGGAGCCTCCTGCCGCCGCCGCCGCTCCCCGTGATGGTCCAGAACAGCGGCTTGATCCCGAACCGGTCCCTGCCGGCGATGGTGCGGCCGTCGCGCTCGTCGTGAATAACAAAAGCGAACTCGCCGCGCATGTGCTCCAGAAAGGCGGGCGCGCCGTAGACCTTGTAGAGCGCGAGCGCGACCTCGCTGTCGCTGGTGCCGCCAAAGACGCAGCCGTGGTCGCGCGCCAGGCGCGCGCGGATGGCGTCGTGGTCGTAGATCTCGCCGTTGACGACGGCGTGCACGCGCCCGTCGTTGCTGTGCAGCGGCTGGTCGCCGCCGTGGCTCAGGTCTACGATGGACAGGCGCGAGTGGCCCAGCCCCACGCCGCCGCCGGGCGCCAGCCACACGCCCTCGGCGTCGGGCCCGCGGTGCCGCAGCTTGGCGGCGGCCTGCTACAGCTGGGACCGGAGGGTGTCGGGGGAGGGGGAGGGCGTGGACGTGGACGTGGATGTGCCATTGGTACTGTTGGTGCCGTTGCTATTGGGCGCGCGGCCCGGTGCCGGTGGCAGATAGACTGAGGCGACGATTCCACACATGGTTCTCTTACGTGGATAGACTTGAAGTGTAACTATTATTCAACGACTCAAAGAGTTATCCTACATCTTGGCGAGGGGAAAGGTACTTTATTACCCTCCTGCTACGCACAGCTGCATAGGTGGTGGATTGCGTCCCCGTGATCCAACTGACTTCCATCTTGACTTTCTTGGTAGACCAAGAAGAGGAGTCAGGCGTTGGGTGGTGTAGTTACAAAGCCCACAATTACTCAAGTGCTTCACAGCCCGAAGCGTCCTTCTGGCGGGAAAGCATCGCCTCCTCATCCCATGCCGCGATAGGTAGAACATGTCCACTGCATACGGAGCCGAGGCGTCTCGTCGGACCCGTCCTGCCTTGCCTCCACCCTGGTGCAGAGGCCACTGTGCCATCCATGATAGCTCTATATAATCCGCGAGCATGCCACAGTGCCAAGCCAATGTGTATGGCCGGCTTCTATACTGTACGTTGGAGAGGGCCCTTTATCTATCGCTAAACCCCAGCTGCCTCGCCAAGTCTTGGCATTTGCTGGGTCTCAGTAGCAAGAGTTAGGCACAGACAGCGCTTAGAAACGTCAGGCAGTTGACTACCAACAGTTGAGGTTGGAATAAGTTGACAACGGCGAAAACAAGATCGGTGAGCTGCCTACAAACGGTTGATACCTCCCCTTGCCAAGCCCATATATCTACCTAGATCGAATAGGCTTATTTTACCCCGGCGTCCATTATGAGCTCCCAAACAGACAGCATGCCACCCAAGACCAGCCACGCACGAACGAAAACCTCGTGCGGGTCTCACTAATCAGTCCAATGTCGGCGCCGCCATGCGAAAACAACCAGTCACCGATCATGCCTCAAACCCCGTTCTGGGCCCCATGGCCATTGGCCTCCCCCGCGTCCCTCTCCCACTCCTCCTCCTCCCACTCTTCAGGGCGGGGCGCCCCCTTGAACAGCACCTTGATGACCTCGCCCCTGTTGAACCGCTCGTACTGGCGCGGCGCGTCCGACAGGTCGTGCGCAGGCTCGTCGACGATGAAGCCCGGCTTGGCGCGTCCGCTCTCGATCAGGCGCAGCAGCATTGGCATCGTGACCACAGGGTCTACGAACGACGCCTTCATGCTCAGGCCGCGGGTCCAGAACTGGGCGATGGGGAAGGCGATCTCGGGCGCGATCTCGTCGGCGAGCGGCGCGCCCTCCGACTTGGGCACCACGGTTGTCGCTCCCGGCACGCCGATGCCGCCGCCGACGGCCGTGACGTGGACGCACTCGCGTAGGATGTAGTCCTGCTGGCGCTCGAGCTTCTCGTTGAGCGCCTCCTCACCCACGCAGTCGACGGCGCGGTTGACGCCGCCCGGGCTCAGCGCCAGGATCTGCTCGCTCGCCCTGTGGCCGGGCTTGGTGAAGTCGATGGCCCTGACGGCCGGCCCGATGCTCTCGGCCTTGTCGAGCCGCTGCCGGATGTGGTCGACCACGTAGACGGCCGACGCGCCCCGGATTACGGCGCTATAGGCGCACAGCAGCCCGACGGGCCCCGCGCCGAAAACGGCCACCGAGTCGCCCGCCTCGAAGCCTGACCATGTCAGGCCCTGCCAAGCCGTGCTGAAGATGTCGCCCGTGCACAGCCATTCCTTGTCTGGCAGCGTCTTGGGGATGCCGACGAGCGAGCTGTCAGCAAACGGCACGCGCACGTACTCGGCTGCATCGGGTCCGGTCGGTTAGCTGGTTGCCGCTCTGCGCCCAAAGTCAGAAGGGGCTCGCTCCACTACTCATGCTCACCCTGCAAGCCCTGGAGGTCGCCAAACAGTGATCCGAGCCCGAACCCGGCCAGCTGCAGGACGGTGCTGTTCTTTGTCGGGATGGGCCTGTCCGACGGGAAGGCGATGATGACGCGGTCGCCGACCTTGAAGCTGTCGACGGCGGGACCGATCTCGTGCACCACGCCCATGCCCTCGTGGCCCAGCGAGTAGGGGACGTTTGGGCTGCCCATGAAGCCGCGGTACACGTGCAGATCCGTGCCGCAGAGGGCCGACGTCGTGATGCGCACAATCACGTCCTCGGGCTCCTCGATGCGGGGGAAGGGGATCTCGCGCGTCACCACCTGCCCGACCTTGCCCTCCCACATGACCACGCGGTTGGTTTTGGGCCGGGGGCGGAAGGGGATGGGGGAGGTGCTTGTTGACGACATTGCGACTTTGTTTTGACAGGAAACTTAGGTGTCCAATAAATTATTTTGATCAATAGTGATTTATCTGTGTTGCGAGGGAACAAGCCTTCTTCCTCGGCTTTTATACTAGGGCCATCGCCCTTTGATCTCTCTACCACACAAGGCGGATTCCATCAAATGCGGACGATGCTCACCATGGTAGCCGAGATGGCAGTCCGGATTGGTCAAGACAGAGCCCAACTATTGGAAGTTATCGTCGGACTAGGCTGGCGTATGCTCCTTCGCACTGCCTCTTCCGAGTGCGATGTTGGTCAGATGCCACCACCTTACGTCTCTTGGGGTCTACGACCTGATCATGGAAACGGGCAGTCATTATTTGGTTATTGCTGGTCCCGGTGGGCCGTTGACCACACCCACAGGCAGCCTTTTAAGCTGACATCCCACACTCGTCGCCTTGCCTCTTCCATTTCCAGACACAATTTCCGTCATATGCCCGCGCATGAATACCGGTCCATCCGCTACGACACGGCTGTCAGCAGCGATGGATCCGCTATGATTCGCTCAGGTCAGCGTGCCAATCCAAAGAGGCCTCCTCTACAACCCAAGGATTGGCTACATTAGCCCCTAATGTCAGCCTTGCATACACTGAAGCCTGATTCCCGCCACAACCGGCCAAGACGTCTGATCATTACCAATCAGCAGTCTGCAGCTGTCCCTGTATGCTGATACAGGGATGTCAAAACATATATAGACTCCGCCTAACCTGTCTCGTGACGATGATGCAGATTGAGCCCAAGCTGGTGAAAGGAGTCAAAGTACTCCGACGGATATGAGCTACGTAACAAGGACATCGAGGCTCACAACAAACAAATGCCCTGTCATGATTCTGTGGTGACTTTGGCTGGCTCGCACCAACGTTTGGTCCTAGCTCCAGTATAAAAAGTCCCAGAAATGGCGCCCAGGGGTTTCCCAAGTCAGAACTCCCGCCGATTACATATCGGACTAAACAGCAAAAACAAGGCCCAGACATGTCTCGCACGCACCAAGCTCACAAGAACCGAGGCCTTGGAGGCCTCCGTAGCTGCGTCCTTCTCCTTTTGACGTATTCGGCCGAGGTTTCCTGTGCCAGAGCCCCGTGGAGACGACAGCGCCAAGACGCGGCAGCAAAGCTAGGGGATCAGCCGATCAAAGAGGATGCTCTGACCGCCATAACCCCGGTCCATGACGGGGAACAGTCCGAGCTCCTCACAGCCGTCACGCCCGTCCGCGACCCGACAGAGTTTGCCAACCCCCTCACGGCCATTACCCCTGTCACCCCGTCGACTGGAACCGATGCTCTGACGGCCATCACGCCCGTCACGCCTTGGAGCAGCGAGCGGCCGCCGATGGCCACCAAGACCGAAACCGTGGATGTGTGGACTACTCAGACGGTTGTGGGCGGACCGGACGTGACGGCAACAGTCACGATGACGGGGACGGGGACTGGCCTCGGCGGCGGGGGTGCCACGACAGCGGTTGAGACAGGAGCTACGGGAACAGGGGGCGCGACAGCAAACCCATCGGGACAGCCGTCATCGTCTTCGCTGCTGGCGCTGGCGACGGTGACGACGGGCGTGGTTGGCTGTTGGCTATTTACGTGACGCATATTGGTGTAATTGCAAGTGGGTATGGCTTCGAACAGAGAGTGCATGTCATAGACGCTTGCAGTGTCATGACCACTGCGAATAGCATGTAATAGCAAGGTTGAATCTAAATTGAAGGAGCGATGAACGTTACTACGGCTGTGCTTCATGAACTGGCTGGGAAGCTGAGCCTATCGCTTGTATGCAATGAGACCTCGTCCTATTAGGCTTCGACTTAAACGCCATCAATCCGGTTGCCTAGGACACAAATATTGATCAGAGACCTGTTATGAGTTCCAAATCAATCCAAGAAGTGGCATCTACTCACCCTTCTTCTCATCTCGCTCATCGCCTAGACTTGGGCGCGCAAGCGACAGCCGGTGCCCTGACGTCACGACGCTTGCCCTACGTCTCCGGGATCGCCGGTTGATGTCGGCGGTTCACCGTTATTTTCCGCCGTCGCGCCGTGCGTCCCCGAGAGCGGAGGGACCTTGTAGAGCCGATGTATGGTCAGGTCAAACATGACGATGCCAATGGCATTGGAGAAGCCGATGGAGGGCATTTCCGGGGTGGACAGCTACTAGTAGGTGAGGGGTGCGATAGCAGATTATGCTGAAGAATCTGACCAGGAGAAATTTGTTGCAAGAATTCGAGCAAGGAACCCTCATGGACAAAGTCGTATAACCTTCTCGTGGCTCAAGTATGGGGCTTTCGCAAGGACAAACGGTAGACTAGAGGATGATTCATCCCTGTGTCTCGTCAGAGCAGTACATACCTACCTAGTCACCTGCTTTGGCACATGTGAATGACCGCATATGATATCTTTGCAAGAAGGGATGGCGAACGGGATAGCAAACCCTTACGCCTCGATACATTGGACGAGGGAGCGGAAGAGTGGGGAAATATGCAGCAAGTCGAGGAAGATTATGATAAAAAGGCGAAAAGATGTTTTATTTTCTGCGCTCGTCGGATAAAAGCATAGGTGGTCACTCCTGCCGGTGCTTAGACAGCATCTGGCGGCGGAGCAGTGTCCGGGTCCGCCTCCGGCGTTGACCTGGTGATCTTGATGCTGACTATCGAGGGGTTTCTAGTCCAGCCAGAGGACGGGCAGCTTATGCTCGAGCCCTCCACGAACTCCCACTTGAGGTTGTTCTTGTCGTCCCTAGATTCGCCTGACCGGTTGGCCGTGATACGTTAGCGACGTGGACAGGTTGGACAAGTGAGAAGGACTAGAGCAGGCAGAGTGACTTACAGAGATTCCGACCCTCGGCACAAAACTCGAACCCGCCCTTTCTTTGCTCTTTGCATTCGCCTGAGGAGATGCGTTTGACCTCGTCCCGTGCCGAGAGCCCGTGTATCATATCGTAAAGCTCAGCGGGGACCTGGACTTCTCTTGGTATCGGGGCGGCGATCGACAGCGCTGGGAGGAGAAGGCAGAAAGCTGTCGCTACTGTAAGTATATAAAGCATATTTTGCAGATAATAAGTATCTTTTCGGGATGTTAATATGCCGGTGGGAGCGAGAGACTGAGAGCACTGTTTGTCGCGTGGTCAATAGTTCCTGTATTTTTTGGAGTCGCTGGAGAAGTGAGGATCGATGTTATCTGTTTTGTTAATCCAGGCACGCACTGATAGTGCTCCTACCGGATCCGGCTCTGGTTCGGGCCGTGTAGGCGGTCGGAGACTGAGATGCTGCCTTTTCGGGACTGTTTTCGTGGGTTGATCTGCAGTGGGAAGAATCAGCGAAGCTTCCGACGGAGATGGGAGCAGGAGGTGAAACTCAAGCAACGGCCGAAGAAGAAAAAACCGCGGGGATTGCCTCCCCACAGCGGCTCCATGGCGAGGATCTTGTAGCATCTTGTCGGCGCTTGGGGAGGAGGCCGAGGACCAGTGCGGGCATTGGCAAGGCCCGGCGTAAGTTCTGGCGTTTCGTCAGATGGAATCAGACTGTGCCCGTAACGGGGCAGTGCTGGGGGTGGAAAGGCTTGGCCTGTCATAAGCATTGCGGGCACAACAAACCCGCGCCAGACGGAAAAGGGTTTGGTGAAAAGCTTCATATTAATAGAGTCAAAGCGGTCAGAAACAAAGAATATTGCGTTTTTGCAGCAAGCGATGACTATCGCCTTGCCCGGGCCGAGGACGACCAAGGACTCAAGGCCGCGAGCGTTGATCCTCCGTGGCCCGGACACGGTTGGTGTAGAGGATTTATTAATTCACAAGCAAGCCGAGCGTGTGCCTGATTCGTAATACCTAGGCTTGACTTTGCCGCATCATGCTGGAAGAAAGCAACGAAGAGTGTGTGCCCGCTGAACCATGCCGGAACCTTCAATCCTGTCATCCAATAATGATGAGGGAGCTGTGATGAAAGTCAGGGACGACGGACGACGGCTTGCATTCGAATTGAGTGCGGGATGACTGTATTCGGTAGCTGACTCCACCCGCGAGAGCGCTGAGGCGGACGACGTCACAGCGGGCTGAGTGGGGACCAAGCTAAAAAATCGGCCGCACGAGTGGGGGTCAAACTTGAGCTAGTCAAAGTCGCGATCCTCAGCTAGCATCGACTCTATTCGCGACGCCGACGCAAACACCGAGCCGGTAGGTTGGAGCTCGGACCCCAATACGGGCAAGGAGGCCGCCTTCGAAAGAGCCATCCACCACCGGCGCAAGGGCGCCAAACCACGACACAATGACCTCGGCCTCAGCATCCCCGCCCTCGACGGTCCCTTCGACCACGACCACCTCGTCGGTCGAGCTCCTCCCCACGCCGCCCTCGCGCCCCGACGCCAACGCCGACCCCGAAACCCCGGACGCCGCCGCCGCCGACGACGACGACGACCCGATCGTGGAGAGCTACCACGTGCTCCTCAAGCCCGAGCTGCCCGCGCACCAGCAGCTCCTGGTGTTGCAACACCCGAACCGCAACGTCGACTACCTCGGCGGCGCGACCGAGCTGCGCCTCAAGCCGGCGTCGGGCATGGTCGAGCTCGACATGCCGCTGGGCCACGGCGCGTCCTACGACCGTGCCAAGGGCGTCAACTGGGGCAAGGCCCTGGCCCAGGCCAACGCCTCGCGCTCCGGCGGCGCCCACGGCCTGGCCGGCGGCTTCGGCGTCGGCGCCC